GCTCCTCTTCGTCCGATCTTCGAGCTCTGTGGACAAGCTCTTGGAAGAGTCGGGGAGTCCGTGTGGCTGCGGCAGAGAAGCGCGCGACCTGCAAGCTGTTGACTTCATGTTCAAGGCGTCCGGGAGGCAGAGGCGCGGCAAGAGACCGTAGACGTCAAGTTCGGAGTCATCAAAGTCTACTTGGTCTTCCGTAGAGATTGCCACTGCAATCTTCAAAGACTCAAGTGTTCTAGGATTGTGCTCCACTTCTTGATCAGACCTCAAAGGATTCGGGGAAGGAATGATCTCTGTGGTGCCCACCGCTTCATCGAACGAAATCACCTTTGAACAGCGCATGGTCGCCCTGGCACTTGCCACACAGCCCATGACATGCACCAGCACTGGAAACGCGCTGCTGAAAATACGCCCAGTGCTCGTGGAATGCAAACTTGAGCAAAATGTATCAATATGATGCATCCCAGTTGAGATAGTTGAGTTGGCGAGTTGCTACAGCCTGGCCCCCCAAAAAGGTCTTGGTGTTTTGTTATATCCCACAGATGGGTTCCATGGAGCTTTGCGACATGTTGCCAATGTCCCGAGTGTCAGTCTTCAGAAAAAGGTTGAGATAATTGCTACTCCACCTCGAAAGAGCATCTATGTTAGCTGAATGGGGGATCTAGAATCTAGATCTAGAAGGCCGAAACATGCCGACACCACTTCAGTAAAGGACGTGTTGGTGCCAACAAACAGTGAGTTTCAATCTAAGTGAGGCTCAGCTTTCACTGCAAGTGGCGCAGACTACAGCCCAAAACACACCTCGACGGGTGGATAAAAACTGTGGCGTGGGTTCCCCTGAAGGGAAGAACCCAGCAAAATCATGCCCAAATGGCCCCTCCATGGCAGAAGGGTTGAGATACCTGGCGGGCAGCGTTCTGGATGCCACTGGCAAGTACCGGGATCGGTTCGTTGGTGCTTTACAGGCTGGACCTGGCCCAGAAGGCCAGTTTGTTCTCCACCTGTTTAATTCAATCTGGTTCAACACCGCTTGGGCATTGGCATTAGTGCTTTCACTTTCACGGCGTTGCGCAGGCGCTTTCGGTCGTGCTTTTGTCAGCTCAGCTTCACGGGCTTAAGATCGAGAACCGGCATAGACCCCAGATAGATCCAGATAGCATGTTGCTCACACAGGGAGTAGGGGACAGCCATTGAAAAGTAGGACGCAGGAACCATCAGGAACCCCTATAGTTGTGGCTATCTGGGGAAAGCTGAGATTAGAAGCGCGACAGAAGCAGGACAATTCCGACACTTATAGAGGGTGGACAAGACACGTCAGCGACAGCGGCTGGACATTTTGGAATTCAGTCACCCAGTCATTCAGAAGTAAGAAACTCTTTTAGCAATCCTCACAAGGAACAGAACACTTTGTGGGACAGCTTCATCGGCGAAGTCACTCTTATCCTGTAGTGAGCCAATCCACTCCCATCATAAGTTAATAAAACTAATAATGACACAGCTTGGGAGCGAAGAACACATGAAGCCTTCAACTAGTGCCCATAGAAGCGTAAGTTGGTCCGGTCCAGGTCTTGAAAATCGAGTCCAATCGATGCAGCAAATCTCAGAGACTTTCCGGAACTAGAAAGTTCTAGTAGAGCCGAATGTGATATGTTTACCCTGGAAGTCCAAGACTATATTTCAATGTATTTTAAACAATGGTCTTAGGATGACCCGAAAAGAAATCTCCTTTAAATGGAAATTGGACTTCTAGGGTATAGCTACAGTCAGTAGAGCATGCGAGAGGTCCCTCCCCCGAGTCTTTTCAAGACCCTTCGATTTCGGCTGCAGAAAGCCCGGCAGCATGCCTGCATCCCAAAGAGTGGGGATCGCTTCCCCACTGTTCGAGAGAAGAGGCTGTAGGCCTGGCGACATCCATCAGACCATGTTGAGGTAGACCAGACCATGCCATGCCCTGGACACGGAGATCCCCGATAGTGGGCTGGGTAGTCCAGGTCTGGGACACCCATGTCGGGACGTGCCATCCAAGGTCTCCTCTTGAAACATGGTCAAGAGAGGAGAAAAGCATAGAGAACGATGCATGCCACATGCAAAAGGTCTCCAGTGGTTGCGCCAACAGTCATGTGCATCTGCATGCCTGTGTCTTAAAGTAGAAGAATTACAGTCGAATTACACTGTTTTTAGAGTTGATGGCGCAGCCGCGTGACCATGAATAGAGGACTCGGAAAATTGAATACCTTTATATATATATATATATGTTTTTTATGCCATAGAATATATCATAAGAATCTGCCTCATCTCCGTTGTTGGGACACCCTCGCCTCCATATAATGCTTCTCAGCCTCGGAAAACTCCTCGGTGGCGAGATAGCATTGGCCCAAATTGCTCAGCACCTGTCGGCGTGTCTTTGCGGGGCCGCGCCGCAAAGACACTTCGCGCAGCCGCTCCCTTTCTACCACCCCGTTTTCAGGAGGAAAGACACGACATGGAGACGGTCACCGTAAAGGCTGATCGCCCAGATCCCCAGGACCGGCCGAATTCTCAGGACCGGCGCCCTCGGCGTCTCGCGCGGTCCCACGCCTTCGCACGCAAGATGAGCTCGTGGGGCTCGACGGCTTCCAGCTGAAGGAGCGCCTGATCTACCGAGCGGGTCGAGGATGGGGCTCCGAAACATGGATGAAGGCGGAGATGCAGGATGATGGCAGGTCAACTGCTGATGTCAACTGCGAATCGCAGGTCTTTTGGGGATTGGCATATGGATGCGTGAACACTACGAATCTGGGTGTTGCTACTTTGAAGGTTGAAGGCCTTGTTCCGTGGCAACTTTCATGGAGACATGCACGGCTTGAAAGCACCATCTTCGGAAAGGCACACTTTTGCTTGCCGCTTCCAAAGCACATCTGATTCGCTCCAGAATACAGCAACCTTCGTCACTGCTGTTATATCCGCAACCTTCGTGCATGCCACAACAGTTGGTTTGCCTCCCCTGACCTGAACATTGATAGAGACCAGTCTTGATCGGTGGCACCGATTCAAGTCTCGGGCAAAACACTCCTTCTCCGATCCTTTGAAAGTGGAACTGAAACTGACTGGAGCTTGGCAAGCAAAACATGATTCTAAATCAACCAATGACTGATTGACAACCACTTTTGTGAGTGCCACATGGAACGAAGCTGGCATCTTTCAGATCGCTCGAGTGCTTTCACTCGTTCATCGTCCTCCAGTTTGCTCCATTGCGACATCAATCAGGTCCTCGTCCAGGGCGAACGGACATGCTTGGAATGTGCGTGTGAAGTCATTTCTCCCCAAACACCAGGAATCATGAATCGCGGGAAAGATCTGAATATATATATATATATTATATATATATATGCGTCTTTGTATGTTTTTTTGGAGGGTGTTGCTGTTGCTGCTGTGTTAGGAAAAGTGTACAGGAACCAACGGGCATCCAAGTTCATTCATCATCCAACTCCGATATGCCTGGCAGGCCAACAAATACTACGCGTATAGAGTTACTGGATCATCAGTGATCTGGTCAAGATATGTCAAAAGCATCTGTGCGTCATAAAAACTTCATACCCGGAGCATCCTGTCTGCGTGTCCTGCCTGGACATCTCTAATTAAGTAGTGGGCTGGGTATTGGAGGCCAGGACACCCGGACAGGATGGTCCTGTTAGATGGTCTTACTAAAGCCATCATCGGATCATCTCAGATCCATCGATGCTTTTCCGATCCAAACCCCCAGAGGGGCCCACCCTCACCGGAGTCTTTCCTCCTTCACCGTTCACCGCCATCGGGCGCCGTCCTCGTCCTCGAGTCCCAACTTCTCGGCCGTGTCATCCGCAGCAATGCGCTCGCCATCCACCATGAATCGCACTTGGGACGCCTGGAGGGTTCGGGTGCGAAGGGTTTGAGGTCGCACCCGAAAGTGCGACCGAAGGAAAGGGGGAGGCATCGAGGGTTCCACGCCGCCCTGGAGGGGAAGGAATCTAAAGAAGGCGAAGCGGCGAAATTGAGTTTTGAGGTGGGCATTGAAGAAGCAAGAGACACCAGCCCACAAAGAATGACAGAATGAATCAATCATCATATATAAATCGATCGATGAATCGACGAATGCAAAGAGCTGGTGGAAGAGCATGGACTCCAGTGGGATGCAAGAATTACTTTTCTCATCTTTTCGTCTGTACAGAAGTTCGAGGAAACCTTTCCAATGATGTTCACCATCAACGCCCCAGCCCCCATCCGCTAGCGCTGCTCTAAGATGATCATACAGCATCGGTTTGTCGAGATGGAACCCACATCCAGGAAGCTTTGTCAAGACACCAGGTACCTCCTGGACATCGTTGATGGCTACATCGAGTCACCTTCGGCGAGATCTTCCCCCAACTCCCTGCCTGAAGACCCAGGCGGCTGCAATAGGCATCCATCCTCGGAGGCGGGCGTGCTCCAGAGTGGTCATGATCAACTGCACCCCACAAGTCCAGTCTGACCCAGGTCCCCTGGTCTTGAAAACCTCCTTGGATCAAATGGGGTAGGATCAAGTCCAGCATTTCATGGGGTCAGTTCCTGACCTGTAGGGACAAGTTCCTGACCTGTAGGGGTCAGTTCCTGACCTGTAGGGACAGGATGAAATTCAGGAATCAATTTGAGGAGAAAGACTGCCTTGTATTGAGTTGCAGTGGCTCAATCGTATTCAGTCGCTGCAGCTTCTTAAATGAAGCCATCTTTGAGGCAAAACAATGCAAAACAGTCATCCAGCTGCCCTGGCCCTGTGGAGTCTCATGATTCACACTTCCATCTTGGCCCCTGTCTTGGATTAGTAAGCTACCAAGTGGTGAAAGAGAAAACCTGTCTCCAACACGTATCCTTCCAAACAGGATTGAAGAAAAACACTGGAACATGGACACATCACTAGCTCAAGGGCTGCGACTTCTGGCCACCAGCTTGTAGGGTATACACCTGGTTTTGACTAATATATGCTTTTGGCCACGAAGCTTTCTCTCCGCAGCTCTTTTTCACGCACATTGTTCTTCACAAGTGAGCATTGGCACATTTGGCCGGGTGGGCGCTGCCGCAGCCTGCCACCCGGTGGAGACAAAAACCTCATTCTTTGGAGGTCTTAGGTCTTAGGTCAACGGAAACGACCGCAGGCCGCCCTGTTCGGTTCCGTCAGCGGAACCGGCGAACCGGTCAGAAGCAGGACGGGAAATCCGTCTCGGTCCTGGCCAGAAAGTCGGTGGGCCAAATAAATGAGTGCCTTCTCTCTACGGAGGTTTCTGTGGATGGAAAAGTTTGCAAAAAAACACACATCCTCAAGAACTTCACCAGTTCTACCTGCAAAAGTCGGGTTTGTGTGCTGCCATCTGACGAAAAAAAATAATACCGCTTCACATGGCGCAAGCTCGCTCTCTCTCTCTCTCTCTCGCTATTTCTCATTTCTCTCTCTGTGGGTGTGTTTGGGGTGTCATCAATTATCACATCGGTTTCTGATTTTTCGTGGCTTCTTCCAATCAACATGTTTGGCCAGCTCCCTCTGTGAATACTCCGCAGTCTCACCTGTCGACTAAATATCCGGTCTGCGGTCTGCGCGTGTTTTTCAGGTCCTGGGTTCATCCTCATGCCACAAGCGCAGCTGAGTCTCACCTCAGTCAACCACCACTGAGACACTGAGTCTCACCATCGAATCACTGCAAAGACAGGTGGACTGGCTGCAAAAAGGGGGATGAGGCCCCGACTGATGACGTGATGGTGGCCGTTGATGCAGCAGAAGGGCAAGCAAAACCTCAAGATCTCAAGATCGGGGATCGGTTTCGAGCTGTGCCCGTCATACTCTACAAGCAAGCTGTACCAATTCATACCAACTCAATGTTTGGTTAAGATGGGTAGATTGCTTGGAAGAGCTCAGGATCCCCCACATGATCTCCCCCCAACAGCCAAGAAATGCCATCCATGGCCATTCCAAGCCTCAGATAGCATGCTAGGGCCATAGTCCATATATAACCGCTAGGGGTGTTGATCATGGGATTTGGATCTGTGTCCTTTTGTTTCTCTGCTGAACCAGGTCGATCCTGATCCTCTCTGATTTGGTTCTGCGGCAGAACATCCGCAGACTTCTAGAGAGGGGATATCAATAAATATGTAACTATTGATTTAATGATATTTAATGTCTCTTTTAACTGTTGCAGTGAGGAGAAAGCCGTCGCCAGTTGGTCCAACGGCGCCCAGTGGCACAGGGAGCCAAATGTCCCCAGACAACGCGCTGCGAGGGATGAGAACCATGTCCTGCCGGGCAGGTGCCGATGCGCCTGGAGCGCTTTCAGTGGCACAGATAGCGGTAAGGCCAGTAGCCCCGTTCGTAGCGTCCGATCGCTCCGTTCGTAGCGATGCCCTTTGCTCCTAGTAGCGTCCTCTACTCAGTTTTTTTTGGTTTAAAAAATCATGAGATAACTTGAGTCAACTGGTTCTTCCGTTCATGACCGAACTTCACCGCCCTGGTTGGTGTTCAGCTCACCAACAGACCTGTTTGGAGGTCACGAACGACTCCGCAAAGGTCATTGAACGACTCAGCTGGAGTCTCTGCAACTTTGTGAACGTTCCACATGGGATGCTTACTGACTCGTTGTTTGGTGTGTTCTACGCCAAACACACCATGCTGGGGAAAAACACATCACATGAGTCAACAGCTGATGGATACTGTTTTGGACAAAAATCAGAAGCTGGTTGGTGGTGTCAACTCACTTGAAAAGAATTAATACTGTAGTCAGTGGGTTCAATATGGTTCAATCATCCCAAGTAAAGCAATCATCCCAAGTAAAGGTTCCATGTCTATATAGTTTAGTCAATTTTAAAACATGTCTGAAACCACCACCCAGGGAAGGAATCCCACCGCCCTCTCCCTGATCTCTTGATTCTTGGGTCTTGTCGAATTAGCTTTCCAATACCAGGAAGTGTTGACCCGGGACGACTAAGAACACTTCTTGGCTCCCTAAACATGGAAGTGGAGAACCCCCTGTTCGTAAGGAAAGTAGTCTTCCAAGGGACCATGCCATCCACTTCCATGTGATGTGTTCGTCAGAGTGTAGTTCTGGGGAACCCGACCCGGGGTTCAAGTGATTCGCTCCAACATGTCCATTTCCGTGTCGCGCCTGGGTTCAAAAGATTCCCGCGCCTCAAAATGTCCAACACACCAAATAAACCCTCTTTCCATTCGTTCCCCATGGGAAATAAGCATGGATATCCACTATACCTACATCCTGATCCACCCATGAGGGCGGAGGAGGGATGTAAGTGGGACTGTATATTGAATCTGCCTAAGCTACACCTGGAGAACCCCGCCAAATACCGATGCTCCACAGTCCTCTGGCTGCTCTTTCTCCTGTGCTGACTTGGTCCCCAGCCTGAGCAACACAGGACAAGGCTTCGACAAGGCGCCAAGACCATGGCTTGCAGTCAGGGAACCGGGAAAATCCATTCTTCCAAGATATGATATTCTCCCGGGTTAGGGGGGAATTCACCCTCAGTGATTGAGTGGAAACATCCCCAAATGCCCCGAAATCCTCCCCATCCCCGCCGCGACTCGCGCCGCTTCGGCAGCCTCTGGAGCGCTAGGCCACCCCACTGTGCCCACCACTTGGCCGCGATACACACGGGTGCGCTGGTGTACCTGACATGGCGCACTGATGCACTGCACTGTGCATCAGCGTGACAGCCCTTTCTTCGGCGCAGATGGGTAAGTGATCTCAGAGTCTGCAAAAAGAAGGGTGTCCGGTGCTAGGCAAAAGAAACAAGGTAATTCAGTGCCCGGACCCTCCAACTGCCTGCTGTCTTTTTTCATGGCCTCTTAGAGGTGATTCGGGCTGTGCAAATACCAGTTGTTGGAAGGTCTATCTTTTTCGTTCTTTGTCTTTGCGGTCTGCACAGTGCATCTCTGCATCTCCGGCCATCTCCGTGGCCATCTCAGCTTTTTCCTGCCCACCAACGGCCCACGATGGTGGATCTTGAACCCGGGGCACCAAAGAAAGGTCAGGAGCACCGCCAGCACCTGAGGGGTCGTGGCGCTCCATTCCAACTCATGCAGGGTGGTCCTTGCTGGTCCAAACTACAGGGGCTTATCATTGGAGCCATGCGGCATCAGTGAAAAGATGTGAAAAGAATTGAAAAGATTAAAAGATATACCTTTGAGTCAGACTGGGGATGGATGAGAAGCGAGTGCAGCTAGTGATGGGGCAGTTGGATTGGGAAAGGTCCATGAAATCGGTGAGTATTGGGGTGTTGGATGGTGTTGCTTCAGGGGCGGAATGCATTGAGCAGATCCAGGTTGGCCCAAAATCCTCGTTCAGAGATGTTCAGAGCCGTCCAAGATGACCCACCAATCAGAGTGCAACTCTAGACTCTAGACAATCCTGCACAAATCCCATTGCAATTTCTTGGCCGAGCCAAGGTCATGCACTCTGGGGTCCCAACAACATCAGTGGTGTAGTGGAAGCGATTGGACATCACCAAGAAGATCTCGATCCCTTGCGCGGTTCTGCCGTAAACCGTTTTGACGGGACACACGGGACACGGGACGGCGAGCTGAGCCACCCTGTCCCGTTTTTTGGGTGATTGCGTAATATGAAGAGAAATGGAATTAGACTTAATTGTTGAGGTGCGTGCATGGAACATGAAGTACAAATGGATGGTACGGTATTTATGTCATCGATGTGTCTGGGCCAGGCGTGGGTCCCAGGCGTTCGAAAAAGCGAACAATCGAAGTGTCTCCGAAGATCGGCCACGCCAGATTCTGGAGGGCGAAGACATGAAAAACACCGGACCCGGAGTGATCATCACGATGCATGCAATCAAGTTGCTTTTCAGGGTTTACTGTTTACTCCCATATACTCCCTTAGGTCGCAAGAATGGAAAGCCACTTAGACTTCCTTTGGAGCTTCTGAAGGGTCCTTCTCTACCAGGCTTCGTGCGAATCATTGGCCACCAGGGCGTCAACTCCGTCTTCTCTCAGAGCCCCCTCCACTCCGTCCGTCGCTCGCTCTTTCCGCACCTTGCTGCGCGATACAGGCCAAGTACCTGGCAAAGCCGGACCCTGACGTAACAGCTGCGACCGCTTGGTGAGCAGGATCAACGCACCGCGACAAGCTCCATTTCTGCCAAGTGACACCGAGACAAGGATGGCTTTCCTGCAAGCGGTCCAGGGTCCATTGCAGAAGCTCTGGGAACCAACGACACCCAAACCCGGAGCCCGGAACTCACCCTGGTCGGTTGACCTAGTCTATTCTCTCTTCATTTTCCGTCAACCAGGGTCCCCCTGTCACCCACAGACGAAAACCAGACCTGCTTCAGCTCGCGGAACGCCGCGCACGTGCGCAGAACGCGCGCCGGAACTGCGTCGCCGCGTACGACTCGGCACCTTTTCCATTTGGTCTCCACATAGAGCCGAGTGCTTGGATCCCCCAGCGCCTCACCCGTCGACGTCCACGTCGAGTCCATCCGAGCCACGGCACGGGACCGGTGCTGGAAGGGGGTTTGGCGGGACAGCTGGGATCCACCAAAACCGAACCAAAACAGCTTTGGATTTGATAATTTAACAACAAAACAGAGAAGGTAGAAGGTCAGCTGCCTGCGGGGCTTTTCGGCGGTCGAGTTTGGCACTCTCAAGCTCGATGGGGTTGTCGCAAGAGCGTGTCGCGCAAAAGATACACATGTGTTTGCTGTTTGCTCGTTGTCACAAACGCACAAAGACTCAAGGATCTCAAGGATCTCAACTTAACATGCAAAGACCATGGCCCCGAAAAAGATCAGGTCCCTCTCAGCCTCCAAAGGAATCGCACTAAAACCAGATGTTATAGGCCGGTTGGGTTGGCTTCACTCAGTGTATCTCAGCGTCCCGGCTCTCCGCAAGAGGTCACACAAGGCCAAGATGTAGAGGATGGTGAAGTAGGTGTGGCCAGAGTAGATCATATCCTCTGTGCTACGACTCATGGGCCAATCCGAGTGCCCTACTAGCACCCGGAGTGGTGAATGGACACGCCTTATTGGGTGGTGCTGGCAGTGCCTCAAGTATACTATAACCTTTATGCACACCTTATTGACCTGATCAAAAGTAAATATTACAGTACGTACTGTAATTACTTGTTGTTCCAGATATAGTGGGAGCAACCGTTGTCCCTCAAAAAGCTTCTCCACAAATCCTGTTGGAGGATCATCTGGATACACCCAAAAATTGCTTTTGCTTGGATCCACAAGAGTTCCTTGCAATGAGGGAGCCCCTGTTCAAACATGAAAGCACACTCGGCCAGCACAAACCTTCCTAGTTGATCAGGACTTTTGATGACGATTCATTGCATGTGTTTCACCGTGAGGAGATCATAGGAGATCCATTTGGGGGTAGCTATGGGTAGCTGGAGTTGGGGGAATTCGAAGCTCATGTGTTTCGAAATTGCTCTCTTAGAAGCATTGCTAGCTGCTAGCTCCGATCATGATGCAGGACTTCGGGGCCTATCCTTGGAAGCATACCTTCGCATTTTCTTCGCAAGCCTTCGCGAAACGCATTTCTGTGCAAAGGGTGCCTTCGCGCCCAAACAGGTACGAGTACCATGTGGTGCCTTCGCAAAACGCTTTTGCAAACCTTTTCGGAACACGCAAATGTAATTACAAACATCTGGGGATCTTTGTCTGCGCAAGTTCCTTCGTGCACAAAAGTGTAAGAATTGTCTTCGCACGTCAATAGTTCAGTTCCACTTTCAAACAAAGCATTGCCTAAAACATCCAAACACCGTTCTGTTCAGTTCCATTCTGTTCACCCCTCAATGCCCGTCTAATCATTGCGTTTTCAGCTGGTCAGACTCCAGCGCCGCTCGCTCGCTCTGACCCCAGCGCCGCGCCGAAACGCTCGCTCTGACCGCTCCGAGCTGCAGCACAGAACCGCATGCCCGAGCCAATCCTCAGAGCCCGTCGTGCTGCGATCCACGTGCATCCGACCGAAGGCGCGGATCGCCCTGCGATGGAGTGGACCTGTTGACCATTTATTACATGTGTTTCACCGTGAGGAGATCTATTTGGGGGTACAGTATCAGCTGGAGTTTGGGAAATTCGAAGCTCGTGTGTTTGGAAATTGCCGATCATGATGCAGGACTGTGTGTGCGAGTTGCTCCCACTGGAGGGCCATTCTCCAAGAGAGCCCGTCGCGTTTGTCTGGGTACATGCCGGTCGAATCTCCATCACTGGAAACGGCCATGTTCTTCTTTCCGCTGGATCGCAACACGGCTGGGCAATTTCCTAGTTTGGACCAATTTCGATGCGAGATTCTCTATCCCAATACAGGGTGTATGGAAAGTAGAACTGCCCAAACCCTCTTTTGAACCATGTGGTGGTTGGGGTGGTTAGCGGTGGTTGGGTGTTTAATAGTGTTTAATCATATAACTTCCAACAACTCAGCAACTCAGCCATAAACAGCAAAGCCTTGCAGTACACTGTTGCGTGGGTCTTCCAGCCTTTTCACGGTGCATGAACCCCTTGCACTGAAAACAGAAGCCCTTACTTTGCCTGCGCCAGGCCAGAAGACATAACAAAATCCTTCCAAGTTTCACCTTGGACCTGGGATGGGTTATTCGGCCATTCTGTGTTTACAATGAGATTGACTTCCACAAAATAATCCTAAACATGACGAGCTTCGCCATGCTTCATGTGTCCAAAAGCAAGGCTTGACCTCTACCCTCAGCCAGCCCGGACCCCAGAAGCTGTCCAACCTGGCATGCGACCTCTGAAAGCCTCTCCGGATCCGACCTCGCAGGAGGCCCCCGAGGTGCTGCCCCAGGCGCCGATCTTGCGAGGGCCCCCGGAGCTCCACCCCCAAGATGGCCATGCACATCGTCCACCTCATCCGACGAGTGGCGAGTGACGAGTGGGTGGAACCAGTGGGTTCGAGCCGTTCCGCGTCGAGAGTGGTCGAGTCCAAATTGGAGTCGAAGACGGGGGGGAAGAGACGTTGGAAGATGTTGGAAGGTTTTATGGCTGGTGAGCTGGAGGGAGAAGTTTAGGGTAGCCAGGGCAGCCGGGGAACTTCGAGAAATTTCGAGAAATTGGAGACGAATCTTCCAAAAAGAGGGTCAAGAACATGAAAAAAAAGACGAAGAAGGACACTGACATGTTCGTTCGCATCGCCCGAAGAGTGAACCGCACAGTGTGTTCCTTTGGCGCAAAGTCTGAGCAAGAGAGTGATATTCCACACACCCCATCAGGGCAAATTCAAGCCCAACAGGAAATGGCACAATGGAAACCGCGAGGGCATCACATAGAACTGTAGAACCCCTGAGAGTGTTGAAAAGAAAAGTCTTCCTTGCTTGGACGTTTTTTCTCCAATCATATCCGGCATAGAAAGTGATCCGTTCGGATTTGAGAGCGGGACAGTGGGCACGAGGGAGTGCACAGATTTCCCTATGAATCTCCCGAAAGATGTTCAGTCATTCGATGTGATGTGCAGGACATGGCGTGCGGCTGGAATCATTTTCGTTGTAAGGAAAGGAATGGAAAGGGCAGATGCTTCAACTACAGTCATCTACAGTATATTAGAGTGCCTTCCAACATCTTCCAACACACCGTTCCCACGAAAACACCCCCTCAGTTTCCCGAAAATCAAGGTTGCAGTGACTCTTTCTTTTCACCTATTGGATTTGAGTGGGCAAACCAATCCCCCAAGCTTGGGCGGCTCGTCCACACTTCCCTGGACACGCGCTCCGCTGAGCTCCGCACAAGCCGTGCTGCGTGGGATCTGGCACCTGCGTCTCGGCCGCCCGACCCGTCGACCCCCAGCGCTGGCGGCGCTTCGCCCGCGCCTCGTTCTGGAAGTATGCCAGGCCGGCGGGGCCCAAGCGCTTCTGAGCGGATTGGGAGCGTCTGGGAGCCAATCTGGGGGCGTTCATTGGGAACGTCAGGAACAAGTAGCTAGTAGAAACAAGTGCATCGCTACTAGTAACAAGTGCCTTACTAGTAGTAACAAGAAGCTATTAGGAACAAGTAGCTAGTAGAAACAAGAAGTCCTTTCCTTTGACATGGTGCTTTGGGACTTCTAAGGTGCCAAGCCCGGTGGGGCCACTGAGGCAAACCAACATCTTCTTGCAGCTTTGTAAAGCCGAATGGTGGACGCAAGACACCCATAGGCTATCCAGATTTGAACTGCAAATCCTGGGCTGGCACATCAAAAGCTTCAAGGCTGCAAAATCGCATCAGTCCTAATCTTCCAACATGGACCCGGATATCAGGGCCATGTCTTTCCTCCTCCCCCTCTTCCTCTTCCTGTTTTGTCTTTCCTCTTTCCTCTTTCCTCTTCTATCTTCTAGCTTCAATCTTCTATCATCTACCATCTATCTATCTTCTTATTCTTCTTCTTCTTCCTTCTTCCTTCTTCCTTCTTCCTGCCACTTGCTTTTCATTCCCCTTCTCACCCGCCTTGCAGTTGGCCCATCCGATGCTGTCGGGGATGATGGTGGTCGCCCCAAAGATCCCCTTCCCAACAGCCAGCACCTCGGTCGAGACCGACCGACGAACGAGTCGACCGCCAGCGACCGCCACGAGTCCGGAGCATTCGGGCGCCCGGACGGAGTGGCAGAGGAGGACCTTCGTCCAGGCCTGGACGTCCTGGAGATAAAGCACCTGGGCGGAACTCGGTCCGAGCGGCTGTTCTCAATGCATCGAAATGCCACTGAATTTCACCCTAATCCTTGGGGAAAGGCTGGCAATGGGTTGGTTGGAAGTTAAAGGTCATCAGTCATACTATTCAACATGATTATCGTTTCACTCCAGATCAAAGAAAAAAAGGACAGACATCTTCAAGGCATCCCCAAAGCAAGGAACAGCTTTCCTTTCCCTGCAAACAAAAAAAAAATAAAATCCTGAGCCTCCCGGCCGCACAAAACCACAGGAAGGGGAACACCAATGCAACGGCATCCAGCGCCTTCAGCGGCACGTCTTTGAAGCCGAGCTGCCTTGGGACGCCGACGAATGTCACCCGGACGCGTCCCGGTGTGGTCCCGCATCTGCTTCTGTGAACACACCGCAACCTCACTCCACATCAAAAACTCTATGGACTTACAATGATTGTATTCATGTTTATTCACCATCCCAAGAGAAACAAGAAGATGGTCTTCCAAAGCCGTGCAGTGCCCTAACGGTCCCCCACTCGTCGAAGAGCCCCCGCCGCGCGCGGCGAGCTCCAACGGCCGCGGAAGGGCTCGGGCTCCAGGCGCTTCAATGGGGTCCTGCACTGACCAAGTGAAGGAACACAAGGAAGGACCCCGTTGCTTTGGCGGGCGGCCTCTTCTGTCCATACAAGATCTATATTGCATTACTAGGTATATTACATCATATTACATGTTATGTAATATGTAACATCACAACATCACATTACATTATATACATATATACTATATAAGCATGGGATATCTATATGATAATCATATCTATATTATGATATCCAAAGTCTCAGAGACAGTCACTTGAAGCAATCCAATCCATTCAGCTCCTGCAAAGATCCATAGGAGACGCTGTCTGGCGTCAGACCAGCCGAAAAGAAGTGCTGTGTGCTTGCATCCTCCTGCACGAGAATGGACGAGCGAGCTGCTGACGACCGCCCATGAGAAAAAAACCGCGGTGCGCCTTGTAGTCAGGGTTTGGCTTGAACCTCAGAACAGTTATGACACCATTATTAAGACCAACCAGGCGGCCATCCCTGAATCGCATCCAACCATTTTTGAAAAGACGAAGGATGACGAAGCTGCATGCGGGTGAACTAAATATACCCCACACCACAAAGTATGCACATAGGAACAAGAACGCTACTAGGAGCAAAGGGCATCGCTACTAGGAGCGAAGGATGCTACTAGGGGCTCCTGGCCTTACTACTAGGAGCAAGAAGCTACTAGAAACAAGATATCATATGGTATGATTCCTTTCTTGAGCCAATCTGGTGCGCGCGTCGGTCAACGGGTCTTCGGCCAGTTTTCAAACGGCAAGGGACGCTGCTTCAAAGCGTAGGATGCCCTTCACGTAGTAGAAGGTGGCAATATGAAGCAACCACATGCAAATGAGGGAACTGACGCCCACGAGGATGAATGGAAGAATCCATTTCACCTGAGCCGCTGACGCTGGCGGAAGGGGCCGGTGCAGATGAAATCATGCTGACACTGCATGATTAAGACATGAATGCATGTAGGTGCAGCAACTCATCTTGACCCTGAAATTCCATCTGGCCCAATCTATTCTTGGATCTAATTCCCTTCCTTCCCTACGCCTACACCAATCTTGAACCCGACAGACACTCACCTGGTGATGTGGACGACTTTCCGCCCAAGGGGCCGGGCCCTTTCCTCCTACGACCTTGGCTTTTCCAGCCAACTGAGCTCTCCATTGGGATGCGTCCTCGTCCTGGGCGGACGAGGGATTAAGTCTTCACAAGGCAGAAAGTTCAGGAGTGATTGGATTACAGTAATTGGATTGTTTCATTGGTCCAATAGCGATTGGATTGATATGATATGATTAATTTGGCTCAATAAATTAAGAAAGGTTGATTGTTCCATTGACAGATTCATTGATTATATAGGTTGTTTCATTGATTCATTCAGTAAGTGGTTACTTGGGTATGCATATAGCATTATATAGCTGGTTGGTCGCTTGGTTGTTTCTACTTTCAAGACTTGGATTCGGTTTTGTGACGGTCTTGTCCTGTGGCTAGGAGTGGGTTCATCGGATTAACAACGACATGATTTGCATGTTCAAATACCGTCGTCACTGTAGATACCAATAACCCAGGTTGAACTTCCGCTCTCTTGTTCACACCGTCAGTGGTGTTGCAGGTTTCTTGTACATCAACATGTTTGCTCGGGAAGGTTGGTTCACAGCACGAAGAAAATAGATCTCAAAAGAGAAATGGTTTTGCTGACATGATCAGCACCAGGCACTAGAACAATGGAAATACTTCAGGAAAATGGTAGAGGAGTCCACTCCACCACTGTTTCTTTCTCCTGGAGGAATTCTAAGGGATATCCCTGTTCCTAAGTAACCTTCCATCCATCCCTCTTCCAGATTCCAAGGCTTCAGTTCTAGCTTGTGCTCACAAACCACAAACAGCTGCACTGTCGAAAGAAAACTCCGGTTCTTGGCAGAGTTTTTCAGTGACAGTGATACTTATAATATGTATATATACCTATTTGGTCCTACTTGTATCAGTCCAAATACAAACATGAAATCACTCACATAAAATCCATCTACCAAGCAGCACTCTCTGAGCTTTCCTCCGGTTCCTCCTTGAGCCGCATCTCTCGCAGCGCCGCCTCGCGGCCCGCCATGGCCCTTCTGGCCCTTACGCGTTTGAGCCTCTGAAAAAACGCGCCAGCCAGACATCTCGCCCTGGCAGGACACTTTTTCTGCAGGAAGCCTTGAGTGGAAACGCAAAAGTGCTATCCCGGTACCACTGCTAGGCACCCCACAACTTGCGCAAGGGCGTCGTTTTCTTGATCCTGAGCCGGACCAGGAAACTGCGGAAATCGTGGGTTTTGGAGGAATGACTGGTTACTTCTAGGGTGGGGGTTGGAACTTCGCAACCCTATGCCCCTGAAACTTCACCTCTTGCCAGTGACACACCCTTCTTTCAGCCACTGGGAGACCTGGTCAGCTTAAGCGAGAGCACAGTTGACGAGCGAACTGCGAACGCTGCGAACGAAATCGGCACCGAAGCCCAGTGGTGCGGAGCTGAAGAAGCCCAGAACACCAAGTCCGCCTCAATCAACAGTAGCCGTCCGTCCGTCTTAAAGAAAACCTCGAGCGGCGCCGCTTTGCCAAGCCACTTGAACTGGACCTCGCTCCCCTGCTGGTCCTTCACCTGCGCACAAGCCCAAGGTCTTCGGGTGTTTTCACATCGTGTCACCCTCCAGCAACTGGCCCTTGAACTTCTCAAAGAAGTGTTTATTCGTCTCATTTGGGCCTCCCTCACCCAAATCGCACACACTGAGAAAAAAAAAAAATTAAAACACCCACCCCGCCAGCAAACACGCCCCCAAAAGGTGCCGTGAAGGCTGTGGTGAACCATTAGCTTGGAGGCCATGGCTACTAGGAGCAAGGATGCTACTAGGGGCTCCTGGCATCGCTACTAGGCTTGGAGGCCATCGCCCAAAGGGATCGCTGATGATCGCTGCCTTGAGCTGAATGTGCTGAGGTGCCTCTCCGCCTTCGGCCATCGTTGCTCACCTCGGCCATCTACGGGTCACGGGTGAACCGGTCGTTCACCCCGGCGGTGGAAGGGGTCGGTCGTTTCCGAAGGGGTCACGAAATGAACATGAAAACGGATGAACAGTGTCTGACGCAAACCTGAACAATCTGAGGACTGTTTGATAAGGACCTGTCCTTATCTGTCCAAACACAAGAACAGGACCGCATGTACCCGTCCTGACACCATGGACCATCATGGACCGATTTTGCAGAGGCGCCCTGGTGGCTTTTTCAGCCCGGCCCGGGTGTTCGGTTCTTCTGTCCGTCGATGTGGGCGTTGGGAGTTCTGGATGGCCATGTGAAGGCCACACTGGCGCCCACGGCACGCTCCAAGTCACGTGACACATCAAGACGCCAATGAAGTGGAAAGTGAATGAAAATGGCCACACTGGCCGCCTATGGCCTCCTGCACACTCTAGGGGTTGTCCAGTTCCACCGCAAGTGGATGGAAACGGAACTTCGTTGTTGAATGGTCTGCATTATTTGGGGACGCCCGATTCAAGCAGTTGCGCAGATGCAAAGCAAGAGAACATCATCTCACCTGAGTCGATCCGTCTGGTACTTGCAAACACCACCCCCCACCAATACGTCACAGCCAACAATCCACTTGCAGACCCTGGCACTTGAACTTCTTCAAGTCTCGTGGGGTCGAGGCTCGGTTTGCTTGAGCAAAATCTTCGAAGTCTTCGAGTCTCGGTGGTGCAGGAACCAGAAAGTGAGTCTTCTCGAATGAAATGACACATCACTTAGATCATGGGTCACCATGTGTCCCTCTTTTCATTGCACTCTCCGTGGTTTCAATTGCAAGCCTTATCATGGATCGTCAAAATCACATACGTAGCACATAGCATTGCCAATGAGAAGCTGGTCTGTAGCAATCCCTCAAGACTTGTAACTAAATTGTAATTACCACAGAGCTACTGAAAAAGGATTTAAAAACAAAAAAACATTTTTTTAGATAAAAGGAAGAAACACAGGCTGGACATCACAGATCTTCCCTGAATCTCCCATCATCTCCCATTCCCCTTCCATCCATCTCGCCTCCGCAATGATCTCCCGAGACTTGTAGAACTCCTCCCACCTGCTGGGCCCTCCCACCTGCTGGGCCCGGAACCTCCGACCTCCTCCGCAAACCCCCCCTTCCCGGCCCAGTCACCTCTCGCCCTCACACCCAATCGTAGGAAACCAGGGCCATAAGACCAAGACCCCCTTCCGACCATCTAAGACCTCCCGAGGTGGTCGCGCATCGCGCCGGTGGCCTGGAGGCCTGGTAGGCACGATTGGCGATGAGAATTCCGAGGTCCCAGAGGTCCATCCAATCCTCGGGCAGCCCGGGCGAGTTCAGCGGACGGGGGGGGTTTCCGGGGCTTCGGGTTTGGTGACTCGGACGGGTGACTCGGACTGGTTGGATGAAACTGGGTGAAACCCTTTGGATGATGTTGCAGCTGATGAAGAATATGTATAAATATGTCAGCTTTCAAACAGTGGTTCAGGAATTCGACGTAAGTACCTTCTAACAGCAGTGCTGGTTGACTATACTATTCATCATGGGTCCATTCTCGTACGTCATTTGGCGATTCTTCGCTCCTCTCGGCACCGAAACTGGGCCGTGGACCAGTTGCTTCTTGTGATACCGGGACGCCTCGTCGCTCGGTCGGTGGGATCGGAAAAGGACACGGTTGGTCTGCCTATTTGGGCGACCGGCCGCCTGGCCCACATCTGATAGAAAGGTCACCTTGAAAGGTCTGAGGAATTCTTTGGAACCCCCTGGCGCCCAACCAGCTTCTTTTCGGATGTAGGTGGAGGTCTAGGGATGAAAAGTCGCGGAAGGATGAAAGCCTCACCTAGGGGAGGAATGTAAACTCTGGACGCTCAGAAAGGCATATACCTGGACCCGGCAACAGGTCACCACTCACCACCTGCAACTTTCAAGTCTCCAAGGCCACCATTTAGGAGACCTGTAGAGTCGGGTGCTGGTAGACATTGTGAGACAACAAGGTGGCTTTCTTCGTCCCACCTCTGCCATCTTGAGGAAGTACACCGCAGCATCATCCTGTCGACGGACGGGGGAAGACCACGCCCAGTCCCTTTGGCGCCGAAGAACCGCCAACAAAATTCCCGATACTCCACCAGCTACCAGCTGCTTCCAAGGCGTGACCTGGCTGGACAAACCCTACACTGCTTACCGGTCACCAAACAGGACACCCATTGGAAGCGCTAGGCAGATTGGCAAATGTTGGAGCTCACGAGACCATTCCAAAAAAGAATGTGTTCCCATCTCCTCTCGTCCCATCCTTCGCAGGGATGAGCTCATGTTGCCTGAGGCATTCCAACAAAAACGTCCTTTCACGGTCTCTTAAACGGATCTGGGTCAACACGGAGCTCGTTTCACCCTGATAGGTTGACCTCCCAGCTAAGTCCAAGGTATCCGGGTTTTGCCTAATCACTCATAGTTTTAAATCAACGAAAGCGCTCCACCCAGCTCAGTGCTCAGCGGTAGAGGGTTTCGTAGAACTCCGAAGCACCCTGAGCCGAGAGCGCGACCAGGGCTCGACTCCCAGGGCTGGACCGTGCTCTTTTCGCACCGCCCTTCGGTGTCGACCTCCAAGCGTCCCCAATTAAGACCAAGCCATTTGCTATGAATAATGCCCTTGTTACTAGTAGCTATTTGCTCCTAGTACCAGAATTTGAGGGTTCGGGTGACTCCCGGGCGACCAGAATCTCCGGCCCTACCGGAGGTGCTTCGTATTCCACCCAACCCTTCGGGCCCGACCGGAGGTGCTGCTTCGACGGCGAGAGGTCGACGAGTCGAACAAAATGATTGCACCAAACCGGAGGGATGATAAGCGGGTACCAGTCCGCGACCTGATAGGCCACATTAGGCCACAATGAATAAAACAGCCCCGAAAGTTCGTGGGTTGGTGTTAAGGACACGTGGGTCAAAGCAAGTTTACCCAGGCAAGTATCAGGTCCGGTCCATTTCCATACAATTGATTTTTGGCCCATGAAGTTCTTGCAAGAAACCGATCCGCCACTCCATCACTGGAGCTACACAAATCCGACCCAACCCGCGACCACACCGGCTCGTGGAGGGAGAAGGTGGCCAGGGACTCCATCTCATACATCATCTCCATCGCCTGACAGGAGTTCCAAGAGTTTGCTCCTACTCCCCATGATATGTTCTTGCTGTGCAAAACATCGCAAAACAAACTGGCCAACAGATGTTCCAAACCAAGGACCCCCGTCCCCAAAGGCACGCAGTGCAGGGCACGGAAGGCAAGTCATCGCTTGAACAACCACGAACGAAGGATTATACAAGAGTCTATCAATTCCTCTCAGAATCTCTCAGCCAGTTCGCACAGCGCTTACATGCGCATGCGCTTACCTTTTCTGCTGATCATAGCGAAGCTGATCAATATAGCGGTCTGACTAAATACATTCTTTCCCACGATGCCTGCTGCGGGACATTTGAGAGGCACCAAAAAGAACTTGAGAGGAGGGAGACACGAAAGGTAGGACAGCGGGAAGAGAAGAGAACGCGAGAGGCAGGAACAAAAATGCAATGTTCGACATGGTGATTTATCCCCTCGGAGGCGACCTTTCGTAAATATATGTTCATATGCACTTTAAATGTTCAAACATGTGCTCTCGAAATGTTCAAAAAGATTCTTAGGAAAACAAACTTGCCCCATGGCTCAGATCATCGGTGAGCATTGAATCGGAACATCATAGGATTTGAACTATCCTGAAACCATAAGAGGCTCACGAAGACGCTCCCCAGGAGAGAATTGACGTGCTTCACAAAACGTATCCCCTCGGGGAACACCTTTCGTAATTAGAATTTCATATTCACTCTTTCTAAGTGTTCAAGAGGGTTTCAACTATCCTGAAATCATGAGAGGCTCACGAAGACGTTCTCCAGGAGAGAATTGATTTTAGAGGGGGGGAGGGGCGGGGTCTGTATTGAAAAATCAATTCGAGGGGGGGGGGTCTGAATTGAGCGATCAATTATTAGACCCGGACGTCCCAACACTTGCTTCGCAAGACAAACTCAAGGTATCCCCTAAAGGGCTACCTTTCGTGATCACAAAAGAATGCATGTCGCGCCCAAGG